CTTTATTTGTTTGAGAAAAATAAATCAAGGTGACATAAGATGACATTAGATAGTGGAGCAAATTTATTTTGTGTGTGTTTATAAATGTGCATGTATTTATGCACACATATCTATGAGATGCTGGCAGAAAACACATTGAAATATTAACTGAGTTCTAAAAAGAAACCCTGCCTTCGTTACTTTCCATCTGAGGAAGAAGCTTTTGGAACTGAAACCTTGGGAAAGAGCAGCTCCCCTAGATGAGTTTGATGTTCTTCCACGTTTATCTTGGGATTTATAAGATCTGATGAGCATTAGGGCCAGCGCTGAAGACGAAATACTTCCATCCTTTCCACTGACCCGTGTGTGGCATGTCCCCTTCCATTCAGCCCTGGAGAGCAATGCAGAGTGAACTGACCTGAAGTGTGTTGTGGGAATCAAAATTCAGTTATAATCCAGCATACTGTGTCAGTGCTTCATGGTACCTAGTTTTAAACGTTGAAGTGTTTCTGGCAAGGGTGTATTTTATGTTTATGTATAATGCTAACATACTAGCAAGGGATTTAGTTGTGACCATTCAGAAATAATTTATCTGTTAAACCTTAATTTAAAATAAAATGATGTTTAATCAAGAAAAAAAAATCAAGGAGATTTGATAATGTTTAAAAACAAAAAAGAGAATCAGAGGAAAGAAAAAGACCAAAACAGCTGGAGGGGGTAAAAATAGGGAGTTAACTATATTCTGCAATACACAGGCACTGAATGGAGAGCACAGATGAAGGAAGGCAAAGTAGCAAGTTTTACCAGGACCTACTGAGCTAAAGGTAAGAACAAAAGAGAAACTTCACTCTGCCTTCCTTTTTTTTTCCAGGAAAGAGAGACGGAGACATCATCTTTTGAAAGTGAGAGTAGAGCTGGGGGATTTCAAAGAGAAGTGGTCTGCAATAGCCATTGAATTGTTAAGCAAGCTGAATTTTGACAGCATGGATTTATAATGGATCAAGTCATTATAGTTCTCTACCTTCTCCCATCGGTGTTTGGTGATACAGAATTAGGAGTGTAGAAATCAAATACTGGGCAGAGATTCAATGTTGAATATTTGCTTATGGGTTTGGCAAAAATCTATCGTTGAGATAAAACCCAAAGCAAACAAAACGAGGCATAATTTTTAAGGGCCCCAACACACTGAATCATAAAGATATTCTAAATATGGAAGTTCTTAATGTTTTGAAATAGCTATTAAAATATATCCAGAAGTTTGTACTGTAAAATTGACAAGAAATCTTTTCTTTTTTTTTTTTTTTTTGCGGTACGCGGGCCTCTCACTGTTGTGGCCTCTCCCGTTGCAGAGCACAGGCTCCGGACACGCAGGCTCAGCGGCCATGGCTCACGGGCCCAGCCGCTCCGTGGCATGTGGGATCTTCCCAGACCAGGGCACGAACCCATGCCCCCTGCATCGGCAGGCGGACTCTCAACCACTGCACCACCAGGGAAGCCCAGAAATCTTTTCTTAATGGCATTCTTAGTGCCCAGTAATAACAACATCCTAACTTTCTATAGTGCCTCACAGCTCACACAACACTTTCATATGCATTATCTCATTTGATCTTCACAAGTCCAGACTCTACTCAACTTGAATCAAATTAAAGAACTTAGAGTATCTGAGTTGCTTTCAAGTTTGTCTCTATCAATCATGAGTTTTCTTTCATGCTACCATTTATAATAAGAGCTTAGGAAAAGTTACGGTAATGTTATGAGATAAAGAAAAAACACTCCTTCATTTACTATGCAGTTTTTGGAGTTTGCTTCTACCTATGGTTTTGGTTCTCACGCTTTGCCTTCTGCCTAATAATAAAAAACTGGGTTGTGCCTACAGCTGTGGGTCCTATAAGCATGACCTCTGCACTTAAAAACTTACCTAAAGGACTTTTGTAACCTACTTCTTTGGGTTTGAGAAAATCCTAGGCTAGTTGCAACAATATAATTAAACCCATTAAAAGTACTGAATGAACTTCAATCAAATAATTTAGCAAACTGTACTGAGTATCTTCTCTATGCAAATACTATAATATGTACTCAAAACTTACAACGTCAAGGGGGGAATTCAGAAATGTTCAGGGAAGAAGGATAGGTTTTATGTGACTGTAAGCTCAGGACGTGTAAGCAGAGTGATAACACTGTCAGAAAAGCTAATGTGTTCCTGGGCTGTGTTACAAGACGTCTGGCATACAGAGCAAAGACAGTGATACACTACTGTGTATTCCCCTACATATATTTGTAATATAATTTATAATATTTGTATTATATATTATTATATTTCTACCCCTAGTGTGTTCACCTATGAACTCTTACAAAAATTAGTTGTCCAGAGTGAGAGAGGGACTCAAAGCAATGTGATATCAGAAATGTTTGAAAGAACTAGCAGCATTTACCCAGAGAATTGAATATATGAGTGCAGAAGGAAGCAGGATTATCATTATTGTGTATGACCGACAGAGGGGAAAATTAAGGCCTTTGTACTGACCTTACAGTAGGCATGTTTGGGCTCAGAATGAGTAAGACTTTAGATTACTTCATCAGGATTTTAATTTACCATTTATTCAAAGGTAAACAACTTCTTGTCAAGGGCTTCAACACTGGATAAGGGATTGAATTAGGATATATTTAAGATCCTTTTCAAATTTGAGCCTGACTTTTCATGTATAATAATAACTTATAAATCATAGTGTGACTATGTCTGTAGATAAATATAAAGCCCCATGTAAATAAAACAAAAAGATTTTTGGCAGTGGGAATAATCTTTATAGAGAATGTACCATTTGAGTTCAAGCTTGAATGATGGGTAGAATCTTGACTGTAATAGTGGGCACCTCAAGCTAACAATTAAATGATGTGAGTGTATGGGGATTACAATTCCTCCCACTGCAATTTAGGTGTGAGAAGAAAAGAGTTTTCATTTTCTTATGTAATAATCTAAATCCTCAGCAGAAAGGTGCTTGGGATTGAAGAGGTCTTATGCCCAGAAAATCACATTACTATTTCTCAAAACATTACCCCCTTTCTCATTACACAAATTTTCTGTGTAATGGTAAAAAAATCTGATCATGGTAATTTCCTTTTTAAAGCCTTTGACACATTTCCCGTTCCTTTAACATAAAATCCTTTTAGAGGTTTTCCTAACTAACCAAACTACGGTGGGGTCCCTGTGTGCACTTCCACAAACTCCCATACTTCCTCTTCCCCGTTACTCTCATCATTTTACTTTTTCAATGTCTATCTTTCCTCATAGATATGAACTCAAAATTTCCAGCATCTAGTGTATTGTCCTTGGACACAGCAGGTGCTTCCTAAATATCTGTATAAGTTATAATTTTAATTATATGCATGAATTATGTCTCATCTGTAAATCAATAAATTGGTAATCTATCTTACATACTTCCTTTTAAGATTTGTAAATTTACCACCACTCTGAAAGATGAACCCACTGTGGTTGGGCTGACAATATCAATTTCTAGTTGAAACTGTGTTCGTCTTTGGAACACAGGAAATTCACTAATAAGCCCCATCCTGTCATATTTCTTGACAAGTAAAAAATTTATCGTCTCCTTGGGGACACTCCTCACTTGACACAAAAGTTCTCTCAAACTACACGAAGGAGATCCATCTTCATTAATACCTAAGTTCATAATGAGGACGTTTCCCTTTAAGAGACCCAGTTATCTTCCACAGATTTTTACCAACTTGCAGTCTTGCCAAATTGTCTCACAGGCTTGTTTTTAAGCTGGTTCATCTGTTTTATTAGGCTTCAATTAACTAGATTTAGTCCTGTCATGGCTAAATGGATGTGACTAGAAAGGGTAGCATACAGCAATCTTTATGTAAATTGTTACTCTACTAGTTAACATTTAGGTTTGAAGTTGGGAAATCAGTGAAAAGAAACTTTAATTTCAAATAGGAATCCACACTCAAAAGGGGAGAGGGCACTACTTTCGATCCCCAGATAGCTACGAAATTAAAAACTATTCCAAAGATGCAAATGGCAACAGAGATCAACAGGCTGTGACCTCTGTTTTCTTTTTAAAAATCATTTGCACCTCCACTGAGTGATTTATTGCTAAATCTTAAGTGACATTTTAAAAAAATGGGCAGACAAGTTTAGGGTAACTTAAGGAAGCACATTTTCCACGTGGAAAAGTTTCCTTCCATATCCTTGAGGGCACCGTCTCTTCCACCTTCACTGGCGCCCAGAACAAAGCCTGGCACAGAGTAAGCGCTTATTACTTATTTGTTGGGTGAATAAATGGATGAATGAATGAAGCTAGACTTTGAAGTTTGGAGTGGGGAGCTGGGGCCCCCGAAGCACGTCTGCTGCCTTTCCAGCAGGCTGGCGGGCATCTCCTCATTCCCTCACTTTCCTGGCAGGTCTTAATTCCCCTGTTTGCCCCTCCTTCGGGACGACCAAAATCCTGTCCCTCAACCATGCCACTCCTCAGTTAATCCGCTCATTTCTCACACAGACGCAGCTGTTTCTGAGGAATGGCTGGCGGAACACGTTAAGTCTGGGCTGCGAGTAGCCCCGGGACCTTGAGGGGGCGAAGGCAGCCCGCTGGCTCCAAAACCCTATATAAAAGGGTCTGGACCCTCATTCTTCCAATCCTTGATAAATAAACAAACTGCTCACTCTCACCTCCTCGTGCAGACGCCGCAGTGCCAACCTGGTTCCGACCAGCACTGTGAGGAGGGAAGGAACGCCGAACCGCCCGCACCAGCAGAGAGGGACAGGCGAGCGCCTCCGCCACGCCCCGCGACGCCCGCCGTTCCGGCGCGCTCAGCCGTCCGACGCCTCACGCGCTGGGTTGCGGGCGCCGAGGCGCGAGGGCCCCTCGGGCCGCGTACGCACGGAAGGCCGAGGGGTTGGGGGGCAGGGAGCGCCGCGCGCCAGCAGGTGGCCGCGTCCTCTCGTGCGCGTGCGCGCCCCGTGCCTTCTCCTTCACGTTCCCCGCGCGCCGCGTCCTCTCCCCGCCGGGAGCGCGCCGGGTCTGTCTCGGCCTCTCAGAGCCGCACGCTCAGTGGAGCTCCCGCCACTGCCGTCGCCTCGGCCCCTCGGTGCCGCGTCCCAGGCCTCCTCCCTTCCTCCGCCACTCCCTTTCCCTTTCCCGCCCTTCTCTCTCACACGGTCCACGGAGAGAGCCTGGATACGAAGCAGGCGGACGTGAAAAGGGGGTTGGAAAAATGGAGGTGCCGCGTCTGGATCATGCCCTTAGCAGCCCCACCAGCCCCTGTGAGGAGGTGATCAAAAACCTCAGCCTGGAGGCCATTCAGCTGTGCGACCGGGACGGTAAGAGTGGCCGGGGCGGTGAGGAGGGGGGTCGAGCCCACGGCCAGGCACCGCGGCCGCTCTGGCTCAGCCGCCCCTGCCCGCCGGGGCGGCAGGGTCTTTTGTTGTCCCACCTGTGCAAATGAATGTCGGTGGGGCTCCCCTTCGCCCACCCCTCCCGCCCCTCAGACCCCCAAAACAAAAGCACCCCGGGGCTCGCGCGTTGGCGGGGAGAGTCGCCGTCGTCCCCGGCCTCGGCGCCCGTCGCCGGCCTCGCCCGCCTGGCCCCGGCCGAGGGCTGCCCTCGCGAGGGCGCCGTTCCCGCCCGCGGCTCCTGCCCGGGACGCGGCGCTTTTGATCTTTGCCGCAGTCCAGCAGTCCTGGGTCTCCCGGCATCGAAGGGGAGATGCCCTCAGGGGGTATCCAGCCTGCTCGCCCCGCCGCCTCTCCCCGCACACACACTAGTTAGCGGTCTCTGCCCAGAAACTTACCAGTTCCTTTCTCGAACATCTACATTTAGAAATCTTTTTATCCTCTCAAAATGGGTTGGGGGTGACAGTTTTTTCAGTGAGGGGGCAGAAAAAGAGTGCATTTCAGCACCACGGACAGCCACCACCGTCGCCGTTTGGGGCTGTGATTCAGAAACTGTCAAAAATCTGTGAAGGAAGTGGCCTCGTACATCTGCCGTGATTCAGGATACGGGGCGAGTACTCGCCATTGTGTCTTGATATTATACCGCTTATTCTGTTGTTAAAGTTGGCAGTCTCCTGAAGAAGGACATTGGTTAGACGTCGGTCTGAGCGTTAAAGTGAGAAACCGGTACTACGTGCAGCACGGGTAGTCACACTGCTTCTGTATTAGTTGGAGAGTCAGTGCTATTTCAGTAATGCGGAAAAAAACTTCATTTGTAAAGAAGTCATCTGATTCGTACTGGTTGGCCTAATAATTGTAAAAATTATACATGTGACAAAGGAAAAACAATTTATGTGTTGTCAAGATGATCCTGAACAGTTTTGGCTATACATGAAATTAATGTTTAACTGTATATAGAGACAATGATTTTAAAATGGTTTTTTAGCCAAGGTTATGTAGATACATACTCACAATAAGGTCATAAAATTGATCCGTATGTAATCCAAGTAGAGAGCAGAGGTTTTGTTTCCAGTCCATTTAAATAGTAATAACTTGGTTAGGCGTTGCTATACAGTACGGTTTAGGTCAACTGAACACTGAGTTTCCGTTTAATAATAAATTTAGGACAATGGGTCTTTGATTAATTGCTCTTTGAAGCCAGAGCCTCTTTAAATAATTCTGAAACAGGTGTAGTATGGATAATAAATATTCTTGCAAAAGCTACTTATATTTTCTTTATCCTTAAATTGTTTTGGTCACCATAGTATTAAGTGCACATATTTATGGCATTAAAAAGATTATTGTTTTGGTATTCCATATATAAGGTTACATTATTAGACTATACAGATTATTTTTAACATAACACATAGGAAGTCCTGTTGTCCTATGGGTTTGTTTATACTTTTGTGAAATGACTTTTTGTAATGTTACCACTGTAAATATTTTTATTTTCCTAAACTGGTTTGACAGAAAACCAAGAATCTAATAAAATAAAGGCAGATTTTATTTTCATTTACTTCAGTGATTTATCAAAAGCTCATTACTGTAGTTATTGGAAATGGGCAATTCATGGTTGCTCCTCAGAAGCCAGTAATCAATACTTAAAATTGCATTTACCACCTGTTTCAAAGATACTAAGAAAAATAAAGTTTTGAAAATGACCTTTACAGAGTTAATAATGCAGAGTACAAAAATTAATGTGCTGCATTTACCATGGTCTCTTCTCCTAGAGTAGAAGTTATTTTATTTTGGTAATATTTTTTAGTTGTTTTAGTTCACATTACTAATCCTTGCAAATGAGCAAATTATGTAACATTCAATGGGGGGGTATTGGCATTAGGCAGTATCTATGAAAATTAATACTTATTTGCAGAGTTCTGAGTCAACACAGATTAATTAAATAGGGTTTCATTTTATAAAATAGCTTATGCCAACAAATACAGAGGGCTAACTCTTCTATTAAAAGATGTGTAAAATTTGAAAATAGCTAGTGTAAAGATGTTGTTAAATGCCTAACTTTTCATTTTGTGACTCTACTTTATATGTCAAATCCAAAAATGTTAAGTTGGTGTCATAGGAATAACTTAGAGAAGGTGATACAGTTATTTTTACAGAACAATTTTTAAATGCTGCATTAAGTTTTTCAACCAGATCTTATTTATCATAATTTTATATTGAGAAATTTTCAGCTAGATGCACTTGCTTCCTTCACTCCCTTACTTTCACTCCCTCTCAGGTCTCATTATTTTACTGTTGAAAATATATAACAGAAAAATTGGTATGTGGTAGATTTATTATGTGTTTAAGTACATAATAAGTGCTATATTTTCATAATTTTATTATAGAAATAGATTTGTCTTGTTTGCTCTTTACTTACTTTATTTTACCCTAATAATCTGATGATGGGAAAAATTAGAGCAATATTAATTCCTTAGAAGTGGAATAAAGTAGAATAAGAGAAAGTATCATGATTGTTTAATAAACATTTCCTTTTACCTTCTCCACTGATAGACATTTTAAATTTTATAATGTTTTGCATATTGCATCAACTAAGATCTGTAGCTGCTGGTAAACATAACTGTATGTTTTATGCTTCCCTGGATCTCCTCTTTTATGTTTTTTTTTTTCCTGTCACTTGCCTTTTTTCTTACAATCTATTTACATTATTAGCAACAATTCACAATGCTTCTTTTTCTCATACTTCCTCAAAATATTTAATAGTCTCTGAAGAATATGGAATAGAGTCCAAGTGGTCATATAACTGGATTTTTTAATTAAGCAAGAGGGTTCTTATACACACACATTATCTCATGTGTGCTTTTATCCTAGGCATGTGTGCTTTGGTTGCTAATACATGGCCCTGTCTAGATGTTACTTGTAGTTCAACATGAGGATTCTGGATCGACTTCTATTAGGAAACCTCTGAAGATCTGCTGTAAATCTAGTAGTTTCTGTAATCTCTGTTGCAAGTAAAAGAGTGTTTCTGTTATTCGCCTCTGCTGTGCTGAAGTAGCCTCAAGTTGCGTATATGATGTACTTTAATTGTGGCTTTTCAAAAAAAAAATCCAAGAAAAAACATTAATTTGTCATTGGGAAGCATTAGTAATATGGGAACTTATTTCCAGTTTGTTTCTTCACATAGATACTTCAGACCCTCACTGACCTGTGACACGACAAAACAGCTCTGACCCCACACATAGAATTCTCCGTTACTTCTCTTCATCTTTTCTCATCATGCATATACATATTGAAGCTTTGTTTCCTTGCCGAGAAGGAAAGATTTATCTTTATGTTGCTTTACATGCATCCAAGCTCCCTGCACTCTTGTTATAATAGTAAAGAAGAAAATACAAAGTTAATTTGTTGTATAGCATTTAATCCACCCCCAACACTTTCTAGCTTTAATAAGTATTATTTCCATGATTCGGACATTTTATGACTGCCTAGATACGGTTTGTGGAGTGTATGATGCTAGTCAGCAAGGGAACACATTTTAAAGGAATTGCACAGGCAGAAGCTGACATTTCCCCGTCTTTGTCTACCAGTAGTTTGCGGAAGAAAAGGGAAAAGTTTTTCTCTTTTTTAACATATTTTAAAAGATTAATTCCTTTGAACTTGGACTCTATCATATTTGTTTAAATTATGAATCAGTTGAGACTTTCTTCTTTATGCTTATTGATGTGTGAATTAAACAAATTTTAATTTTGGAAACAAATGGTAATACAGGAGTGCTTAGTAACACAACGCTATATTAGATAATTCTTGGAGATATTTTCTAAAGCAGACATCTAAGACAAATAGCCTTAATTATTACCTTTCATAGTACAAAAATGTAAGGTAGGCATTACTCAGTCTCACTGACATGCAAATAGCATGGTGGTAATACCATTTTAGAATCAGACCTCTCATACAATATTTACTCTTGATAGATATGTTATCTTAGGCAAATTACTTAGCCATTTTTTAGCCTCAAGCTTTCTCATGTAATATGGGTATAATAATGTCAGTCCTGTAGGATTGCTGAGATATTCAGTAAAGTATTGTATACCATTTCTCACAGTTCTTGACACAAAATAGAGAATAATAATTATTTTTAATGGACTATTATTCTTCACATACCTTCTTGAGTTGAACTGCTTTTTAATTCTTATTTTTTGGCCAATGTTTAGATCTTTTTTTTAAATTTCAGTTGTGTTTTGTTTACATAGTAAATCCTTCTTATGTCACTTCAACTTCATGAGTAGTCAATGGAAACTGTAAATTCTGAATTTGAAAAGAAGAGTAAAATCACAGTTACAGTACCCTATCCTTTGCTTATATTTTTCTATCGCATCAGTAGTATCCTTCTCAGCATTAATCCTAAAAGCTATTTTCAGCTTCTATTGTGAACCTACTGTTTGCTGTTTTTCATGTACCTTGTGACCTTGATACCTGCTTTGGTAGGTATTTGCATCAGAGCCCTTCTCTGTTCTTGATTTAGCAATTGTTTTCTTTATGATTTTTTTCTAAGTATAGATCTATACCAACACATGTGACCTCCGGGTTCATTTCTTTGACCCTGATTTGACTATAGAGATGCTGTAAATTTTCATTAGTGAGTATGAAACAAAACCAAAAGAAAAGAAAAGCTAAAAGAAACAAGCAAAAAGCTTGAAAACCATCACATTATGTTAAACGAATTTATATTCTTGGTAGAGGTTCTGATTCATTCCCAGAGGAGACCAGGAAGTTTTTAGAGTAAAAGTCACATCAAAGGATATGTGACCAGGCTCCCTCCAGTGGTAGAATGACCGATATGTCGTAAGTGGTAACATTCTTGCCTAAGTAAGTAAGCCAGTTAGAAATTCACTCTATAGAACACTATCTAGGCAACTTCCAAGTCACTTTAA